TTATCGATCGCGCGGCAAAACAGTAAAATTTCAAAGGACTCCGAGTAAGTAGGCAACATTATAGAAAAAAAAAGGTTCGCTCAATATTTTATTATTTTTTTTTTATTCTTCTTTGTTGTTTATTATTTTTATTGTTGTTTTCGCATCAGAATTTTTTTTTTTTTTTTCATAAAAATTTTTAAAACTTTGTTGGTTTATGTGCATATTTATTGTACGTAGACTGAGTACTTCATTTATGGAGGAAAACTTCGTATAACAGCCAAATATTAGTTGAATAGAGGAGGATAGCTTCGAAACATATCATAGAAATTTTGTGTTCTACAAAAATTTATAGAAGAACATTCGCTTGCCTGTCTACAGCATTCAAATATATACATATGCACGTAGCCTAGAAGGATCACTGCAGTTTCTTTTTGAGGGTTGTAAATGTAAAGTTCTCCAATTACGTATGAAATAATGTTTATTTTGATTTTGTTTCGCCCCTAAAATATATTATATTTTGAATTGTTTCGTGAGCTAGTTCAGCAATGCTTTACGAAAGAATTTAAATTGACAAGAAATAATTTTCCGTCATAACCCCATTAATTCTTATACAAGGTCAGTAAAAGTGTCGTCAGAAGAAGCAATAACCTTCTAATATTAAAAGTAAATTAAGTTGCAATTACAACTGAGAATATTTTACATTACAAAATCGTTTTATAAAATGAATGTTAGTAATTTTAAAATAAGGCTTTTCTATTTCATTATACTTGAACAGTTATACTAGATAATCTTCACAAATGAAGACGACAGCAATACATAGAAACACATTTTACGCATGTTTTACTTCTCTTTTTTCTCAGTGTATTTTGCCTGTTATATTTTATTTTTTGCATTATTGCAAGGGTGTCAGGTTTTTTTTTTCTTATTTTTGTTATTATTAGTTTTGTATACATTTACTATTTGAAACCAGGAGCTTTACACTAAAATATTTAAAATATTAAAGGAATTTTGTATAGTTGCATTGAAAATAAAGAAAGCAACATAAAAAAAATTCAATGTCCTGCAAAAAAAAAAAAACAAAGTGTTGGTTTAAAGAATTTGCACTGTAAAAATTAAGTAATTAAATTTTTAGTTTTTTGTTCTGTTAAAAGGGGATTTTTTTTTTAATAATTTTAATTAAACGGATCCAACAAAAAAAAAAAAAAAATGTGTTTGTATAGTGCCACAAAAAAAAATCAAGAAGGAAAATTTTAGAGAAATTGCAGTTTTTTATTGTTGGTCATGTACACAGGTTTAAATTTAAAATTAAATTTTATTCAATGAGTTTAAATAAAGTCGGAAATTTATTGCAATTTATTGCAATTGTTAGACGTTTTGAATAATTCGAATAATTGCTATATAAGCTTCTTCTTTCTCTGAAATTTTAATAAAGCTGTCAAATATAAATCAAAACTTATTGGTTGCAGCTGCCTTAAATATTTATGAGCTAGATTTAATACTTATATGTTGAACTTAATCAATATACACCTACACAATTTTTAATTCTATAAGAGTGCTGCTGTACTCATAGGGGGATGACTTATTAATTTGAAAAACACAGAATAAAAAATATTATGTGCTGGGGTTCCGAATTTCATTTAAAAAATTTATTAAATTTGTATATTAAATTCGCTGAAAGGCATTCCATTTAAAAAAAACTTTTAGATTTTGAAACACAATTGCTTAAATAAGGCATTTTTCTAATTCTATATATGAAAAATGAATTTATTACTTAGCCGTTTTGTAAACGACACCTTATAAACTGATCAATTTTCCAATTATCACCGCGGTTTCGTTTTACTATCACAACATCTCTTTAAATCTTGTCGCCGTTTCATAACGTCTGCCAGAGTTCGCGTAAGCGGATAAGAGTCAGCCTTTTAAAACATCGTTTTTCACATTCTTTACAGCTTTTTTTAGAAGTATGCCAATCATACAAGCTTTATGATGAGTCAAATGGTAGTCCTAGTTTATAGACGGATTATCTGTTCACAAACCAATATCCCGTATTTAAACATTATGTAAATTGGCTATGTTCACACAAGACAAAATACTTCGACTTATGACCATCCAGTCTCTGACTTTGATTATGATATTTTAGTTTTTTAAACAATTCTTTTAATTTCATTGTTAAAATATTTCATTTATTCATATCTGAAATTAGAATTTTTTTTTAAATAATTACTCTTAAAATAAAAAATTTCCATTTTGACCTACTTACTCTTTACGTGTTCACAAACTATAGTGAAAAAAAAAATTGTGTTCTTCAAAATTCCCATATTATGAAATTTCAATTAAAAATTCCTCTTTTTTTTTTTTGAATATATCCTGCTGAATCCTCTTCTTTACACAAAACAAATCCTTTTTGACAAATTTTCATAATGTCATTCCATGAATCTTTAAAATTTGTCAACAATATCCTTTTCTATAATAATAATTCAAATATTATTTATTTTTTGCAATGTTTTTCTACTCATTGAAATTTTCATCATTCCTTCTATTTTTATAAATTTTATTTGGCTTTTTGAGATTCTTACTACAATATGAAAAATTTCTAAAAGAGAAAATAATAAAAAAATTTAAAATGAAATTAAAATTAATGTTTGCATGCAAAAAAAAAAACAAAAAGAGAATTTCTTACTTACACAATAAGCTAAGAAAGAAAAAGAACAAAAAAAAAATGGGTTCATAAATTTATCAACACAGAAAAAAATTTTATTTTGACAAATTTTTGAAATAAACCAACCAAACCAACCAAATATTAACATAAACAAACAGAAATGTCAACCGAGACAAAAATATTTTAACTAGTCAAAAGAATGTCACCACATTGTCACTCTACTTATTATGTATACGTTTTCATTTATATGCTAAATGAGAGAATAACAAAAACAAAATGGTTGAGGTGAAATGTAAAAGAGAAAAAGAAAAAGATAAAGAAAAATAAAAATTAAATGTTGTCTATATGAGATAAATTAAAAGTTCACTGACGCACTATTTGTTGGTCTGGTGTAGAGAGCTGAGAAATTTTTCAAATTCTCTTTATTCTCTTTTTAGTTTAAGATAATGAAAGTTCCGGTGTAAATGCCTAAATCACAATTAATATATGTATTGCAAAGCACAACGATTGACTAAAATGGATTTTTGTTTCTTGCGAAAATATTTTAAATTCAAGATAGCGAATTTGATCCAAAAATATCGAAATTTCGAATTCAACTCGAATTCTGATATGGAAACCAGTTTTATTAAATTTCAATTTCGATTCCAACTCTATAATAATGTTAAGGCTTCCAACCGCGTAAATTTTTTGTATTTATTACTACTCCAATTTAAATATTCAATCTCAATTCCGACTTGCTTCTAGGCTAGACTTGCCAATTCTTAAATAATCATAAAATCTGTAACACCGATACAAATCTTTTAAATCGGACTCATTTTTTTATAAATTTTTCCAGGTCTACCAAAAAAACCCGGTGTAATCTTACTTAAAAAAACTTAAAATTGCAAAATTATAAAAAACGGAAATTTATATATGAAAGAGTAGAGACTGATTGTAATGGTTTAAATTTGAGTAATGGTTACAAAACTATCCCTACAAGTATGTAGAAAACCCTTTCGAAGTAAACGAAAAAAAAATAAAATTATTCTCTTCCTTATTTTGTTTTTATTTATTAGGAAACCGTATTAAAAAATTATTTTTAACCCTCTTTTATTGTTGTTTTTTTTTCTTGAAATTCTTAGTGTAGTAACGGGAAGTAATAAATTCGAAAATAAAATTTTCATGTATAATTTTTCGCCTTTAATTTTGTTTTTCAAAGTAAAAATACCGACACCGCGCTCACCGTTAACATTATGACATATTATTGAAATTTCATTTTGTCCACATGTGTGCAATTTGACGATTGTATGTGTTTTTTTTAATATTTATGAATAAAAATATGCGTGTTATTATTAATAATCGTAAACATAATATAATTGGAATTCAAGAAAAATGCAAAAATCTACAACAAAAAAAAAAAAAAAAATAAACGAAAAGGGTTGGTTCAGAATACGATGAACTAGTTAACTGTATATTATAAGAATTGCAATCATATTGAAATAATTGCATTGTAATATGCGACATGCTTACATTTAAGATTAATTTTTATTGTTCATGATATTTCAGCTAGATTATATTCGTAGTCATACTATTATACATAGGTATACGGTATATACACCTAGTTATGGCATTATATACATATGAACGGTAGATTATGTAAATAATTGTATAATATTATGAAACATTATCGGTTTGAATAATCAATGTTATATTTAATCGAATTGACATGAAATTGGTTGAACTAATTTAACAAGGAAAATAAATGTAGGTTATATTTATATTGTATAATAGTAGCTGAACATGATATTAAAATATTGCGAATATACACATAAGTATGACATTTATATTAATTGTTGTTAAAAGCTTAGAGGCTACTTCTTTGTTTAATTATAATTTTAATTCTGATTTGGGTTGTGCATAACTTTAAGATTAGCGTTTAATAAATGCAAAAAAAAATGTAATTGTTTTGATGAACACAACAATGAACAACAACCGTAATAGGGTTAAGTTTAAAGCTAAAATATTATAAAACAAAAAATTATGCAATTATACAACGTTTTATACTGAAACGAAATTATTAAAGCATTTACTGTTAAAAGCAGCTCTATTGATATTATTTATGGTATTAATGGATCAAAGTTAGAGTGTACTAGAAATCTGAAATATTTTTGATTATGTCTGAACAGGCTCAAAAATTTCTGTGGCAAATTTCTACAGAATTTATCCTCGCATATATTTTTCTAGGATTTATCAACCTATTATATTCGACAATTATTTATATTGAACCTCTTTACGAGTAATTATAAATGAAATTTTACAAAATCAAATTTTTAAACAAAAAAAAAATAATTGCAATTTTTTTTTTTTTTGTCTTTTACAGTTATTAGTTAGCAGTGGTCAAACAACAACAACAACAGCAGCAAGTGCTCAATCACCGATATCAGGTGCAAATGCACCATCAATATCACCATCTGGTGTTTCGGTAACAGGTGGTGCACCAACTGGCGGAGCATTAAGTCCTGGTGCCTTATCACAAACATCAACAAATAATGCACCACCAGGTAGTGGTGGCGGTGGTGGCGGAGGTGGTGGTGGTGGTAGTGGTGGAAATGGTGGTGGAAGTCAAGGTGGTGGTAGCACATCAGGTTCATGTTGTGAAAATGGTCGACCAATTATGACAGATCCTGTATCAGGACAAACAGTATGTTCATGTCAATATGATTCAGCTAGATTAGCATTAGCATCAGGTTATTCAAGAATACCAACAGGTAGTGTTGGTGTTTATGGTACACCATATCCATCAACTGAACAAAATCCTTATCCAAGTATTGGTGTTGATAGTTCAGCATTTTATTCACCTCTTGTAAGTAAAATTTTTATATTATTTTTTTGAAAGAATTTTAAATTAATTATTATTATTAGGAAAACATTTTTTAAATTATATTTTAAATATAATGAAATTCATTTCTACTTATGGAAGACACATTTGACTCATCTAAGAGCAAATGATTCTTTAATAAAATTTTACAAATTCTTTTGTATATTCAAGAATAACAATAATTTTTCTCCGCCTTTATGGATTCTTTTGTATAAGTTTAATATTTTAAGTGAATATAAATCAAATTAAATGCCGAAAAGAAAATGTTTGCGAATTGTTTTATTTTTATTTTTGAATTTCTTACAATTTGGTATTGGCACTCCCAACCAATCCCAAATATACATGTTATTATCATATGCATGTAAGTGGTATTTTCTCGCCTTTTCTTTGTTATTTTGTTTACTATAACTATTTTCGTTAAATCTCCTTTCGGCCTTGTCAAGAGTTCTATACAAAATATGAATGAAATATTGAAATAAAAATCCAAAAATGTTTAAGTAGAATGAAGTCCAAAAATTCCTTAATTCAAATGCAGGATGCATGCGGCATTCTTAGAGTGTTTTATTTTATTTTTTTCTTTCATACGTAATTTAACGAACCAACACTACTAACACCACCACCCTTAAAAATAAACCATAAATTTATCACCCAAAAAAAAAAAAAATAAGAAAAACGGGAAAATACCATAATTTTGTGTCCTTTACGGCATTAAGAATATCACCATATGCCGAAAAGGTGTTGCAATATTCGGTTAGAAATAATTTTTCATTTCTCATTTTTTTCTCTTCACATTTTTTTTTTTTTTTTGTTGACTCAAGTGGCTGGTCGAATGTCATTTTTCTTTTGTTAAATTTTTATTTTCAAAATAACGCAAGAATGAGAACAACAAAATTTTGTGAGCAGATTTTTTTTTCTTTTTTCTTATTTATTCTTCCCTTTTTTATCTTCTTATATTCCGGCTAGTTCCCCTTCATCTTTTACAATGTAAAGTCATATATGTTATTGTCATGCCTTGTTTTACTTGATTCTTATTCCTCACAATTGTTATAATTTTTTCTATCGTGTTGGTCTTTAAGTTTTTCTTTATTATTTTGTTTTATCCATATAGCTTTGATATGTCATGCACGTTATTATTTTTTAAGGAGATTGGTAGTGTGTTTTCAAAAAAAAATTTTACCATCATTTGTCTTCAACGTATTAACACTTCACTTTGTGCTTAAATTGTGACAAAATATATATATTTTTTTTTTCTAAATTAAATGACCAGGGTAATAAACCGAAAAGCAAAAAAAAAAAATAATGGTGTATAAGTTATAAAGAAGGTATAAAATATTTTATTTGTGATGCGGTAAGCAAAATTGAAATTTACAGAAAAAACTAACTTTAAAACTACTATAGCAATTTTTCAATTTTATTTTTTCTGTAAATTTCAATTTTTAGTAAATGTTTTCATTCATTTTGTTTTTCATTTCAAAATTTATTGAGGAGAGTAGTGGTATTAATCTCAGACTAAATATTTTGAAATTTAATAATGAACACCATTCAAATTTTGCTTAAGTAGCGGCTGTAGACTATTGTAGGCTATTCTTATAAATAAACTTTTCTTATATGGAAAATATTTAATCTAATTTTTAGCACTTTTCCAAAAATTTTTTGAAAAAAAGTGCTTATTAGTTTCACTCTGTCCGTCCGTCCGTCCGTCCGTCCGTCCGTCCGTCCGTCCGTGTGTCTGTTTACAAAACTTCTACATTTTTAAAGATAGAAAGCTGAAATTTAATACGTACATAGATCTTTACTAGAAACTTATTTTTGTAGAACAAAATTTTTACCTATCTCCCCCCCTCTAGAAGTTATACCCCGCCAAAGCACTAAAAATGGCCTATTTTAACTATTTGTTGCAATGAAACCATAGGCATTTTTGAAATTTTGCAAACGCAGAAAGGCTGTGGCTTGCTTCCCCTAACACGGTATGCTATAGTTAATTTTTAGAAAAACAAAATGGCCATTCAAATTTACCGTTATCTACAGTCCTTTTTTACCAAATTTTTGATGCCGTTTTTCTTCTAGACCCCAGCCTGTAGAAGCTTGAAATTTTAGGGGCTTTTAGACATTAACATGTAGTTCATTTCGCTAGAAGAAAATTTTTTTCTATCTCCACCGCCTCTCAAGTTATGGCCTCTTGAAATTTGTAAAATTTGCATTTTCGACACCTTATATTTCTGAAACCGCAAGCTTTTTCAAATTTCTATAAACGCAAAACGTTAACGGTAAATTCCATGATATTAAAAAATATAATTATTTTTCTTAACTCACACAAGTAACCCTTAAAATCGAGCATTATGTTAACCCCTGCTTATTTTAATTTTTGCTTTATTTCAAAGACTGCATAAATCGTTCATCCTAAATATATGCAATCCTAGAAATAGTTTTGTATATGAATGAAAAAAATTTTAATAGTGTGATAGGTATACATACTCGTAGACTGTATTTAAAAGCAGAATTTTCGCTTGTTGAAGGGAAAAGTGCTACAATACAAACCATTGGTTTGTTCTAACTTTATTAAAATTTGTCATCTGTTCATTTCTCATTTAATTGAAGAGCTAAATGATTCTTCTTCCAAGAAAAGCAAAAATATCCTATTTTTATATTTTCCGATTGAATTCCGAACAAGAACTCCCTTAGGTGAGCTTAATACAGTTGATAAGATACGAGTTGAGTTCTTTAAGTTTTATTATATGCATTTTCTCAAAAATTTGATTCAAATTAGAAGTTATGAATAAAAATAAAGAAAATTACAGCATTTTTTTCCAAAAGTAAAATCCAAATTCGAGATTTGAACATTTAATAACTCTTTCAACACCTTACGGATGACGCTTTTAAATGTTTATTGGAAACACGGTACCTTGCGTCTTTAGATTTGAATGGTCATTGTTTGGCATTTCATTACTCTTAATATACTGAACAACCGTACTCTATTACGTGCACAGTGTTAACAATGAAGTATAACAATGTTAACTGTACTGTAAATTTTTGCAGCTTTCTTTATTTCTTTATAGCTTTATTGCGTCTTATATTGAACGCAAACTGACAAAATTTTAATAAAAAATTTAAAAAAATTTAATTAGTATTGTAAATTTAAATTTTATAAAAACATTTATCTCACTTATGTTTTCTTAAAAATGACATTTTAACATATAACAGTCTAAAAAATTTATCATGAATTATTTTACATTTTTGCAAAAATTAACAAAAATTTACTGCAGCGAATGACCATCTGAAAGACTAATAATTTAATTCAATTTACATCTAATTATAAAATTTAAAATAAAACAAATTTCTTTACTTTTGGAATTTTATAAAAAAATATAAAAAACAAGAAAAAAATAAAATAAGAAATAAATAATATAGGAAGACATCCATTTGCTTAACACCGAAACCCAATTAATTTTCACCCACATGATAAATTTTTATATTATTTATAATATTTATAAATGTATGTGTACGATTATACTGGATTCTCATTGTAAGATTCTTACAATGAGAACAAAACCTCAATAGCATAAATATAAGAGAATGTTAAATAAAAGATAGCAAAAAAGCAGCAAAAATAAAAATGTCATAAATTTTGTAAACGCAATAATAATAATCATAATTCTCCTCTTGTGCAATTATTCATTTGACTAACTGGACTATCACTCAATTTTTTGTTTTATTTCTTTTCTTTGTCCCTATGTTTTTTTGTTTCGTTCAGGCTTTTATAGTCATTAAAACAACCTATCATCTGAAAATCTTCTTTATTTCTTAGCACACTACTCGTATATAAAGACTGTATTCTTTTAAAAGGAATAAGAGAAGAAAATAATTTTTTTTTGTTTTCGTATAGAAAGAGAAATAAGCTATAATAAATTTTTTGTTTAAAAGAAGTCACAAATTATTGAAGGAAAATAATTTTTCACAATTGAAATTGTATAAATTGAGAATAAAAAAGAATTTAAGAGAGTATGTAGACTAAAGTCTCCGAAATTTTATAAAGATTACCATTGAAACATTCTTTTTGTCCTACATATAAACACTTGCAACGTTTCCGAGCTATTTATAGGTTATATATATACCTATACGATTTATAGGTATATATATGTCATTTAAAAGGAAATATTATTCATTGAGTAAAATGAGTGATAAAATGAGTAATAAAATGAATAATTACTCATTGAGTAATAAAATGAGTAATAAAATTAATAATATTCTCTTTTAAACATGAATAAGAATAGGTTTGCCCATTCATATTTTCCAAAATTTGAGTGAAAATGTATAAAGCGAACGCTTTTTACAAACACCAATTCTGAGTTCGAACAATTCAAAAACTAATTTCCCCAAAAGACATGTTGCTATTGTTTACTCTTAGTACACATATAAGTTTATACGAATTCATGCTTCCGAAAATATTATAGAACCGCAGATAAGAGAACCCATGTTCTTGCGATATTTAAAAATCAAAACGATAGACGGCAAATTTCTGTACCATTTTAAATTTTTTTACTCACTGAAATAATCTTATTATGAGTAGTTCTATTTCAGAATTGACGAATTCTCGTATACATACAAAAAATTTTTATAATATAAAGAGCCCAACAAAAAAAAAAAGAATTATGTGGTTTTTTTTTTTCAATTTTTTTTTTCTTATTTTAAGAGCATATTAAAGTTGAATGAATCTTTTATTCATAGCACATACGAAATATTTTTTTCTTTTTATTTTCAGCATATACGCTTCATACTATAATACTCTCATCCCCCTCCCCCCCTCCCCCCTCCCCCCTCCCTACAAATATACATTCATATAATCAAATCAACAGAAGGTTATTAAGAGAGAGAGTAATTCGGCAAAAAATTATAAAGAAAAAATAATAATATTTTGTTAAGGAAAGAGATAGAAATATTTAAGAAAATGAGTAAAAATTATGAGCTGTTTTTTTTTTTTGTTTTTC